GGCACAGGAGCTATAGTGTGGAGGAGCGAGCAAGGAGAATTGTGTGGTAGGAGCGACCAGGAGCATAGCTGTGCGGGGGGCAGGAAGGAGCAATTGTGTGTGGAGGATGGGAGGAAGAAGCAATAGTGTGGCGAGTGAGCGAGGACGGCGCAATAGTGTGGATAGGGAGCGTCAAGGAAGCAATAGGTTGTGGATCGGAGCGAGCAAGGGAGCACTATTGTGGAGGAGCGCAGCAGCAGCAATAGTGTGGAGAAGGGAGCAAGCGAATGAATAGTGTGTAGGAAGTGAGCACAGGAGCAATATGTGTTGAGGCAGCGAGCAAGGAGCAATAGTGTGAGGACGCGAGCAAGGAGGCAATGCTTGTGGAGGGAGCGAGGATAGGAGCCATAGTGGTGGAGGAGGGAGGAAGGCAGCATAGTGTTGGTGGAGGGAGGAAGGGACAATAGTGTGGAGGAGCGACAAGAGCAACTGTGTGGAGGATGGAGGAAGCCGATGACAATAGTGTGGAGGAGCGAGCAAGGAGTAATAGTGTGGCAGGAGCGAGCAGGAGCAATAGTGGATGGAGGAGCGAGCAAGAGCAAGGTGTGAGCAGGATAGCGAGCAAGGCAGCAATGGTGGAGGAGCGGGAGGACAGGAGCAATAGTGTGGAGGAGCGAGCAAGGAGCCAATAGTGTTGGAGGGCGAGGCAGGAGCATAGTTTGTGGTAGGAGCGAGCAAGGGCAATTAGTGTGGTAGGAGCGAGCAAGGAGTATAGTTGTGGAGCCGAACGAGTAAGGAGCAATAGTGTGGACAGGAGCGAGCAAGGAGCACTAGCTGTGGAGAGCGAGCCAAGGAGCAATGTGTGTGAGGAGGCGCAGGGAAGGAGGCAATGTCGTGGAGGAGCGGAGCAGAGCAATAGTTGTGGAGATGCGAGCAATGGGTCATAGTGTGGAAGGAACGAGGCAGGAGCAAATAGTGTGGAGGAAGCGAGCAAGGAGCGATAAGTTGTGGGGGGAGGCGAGGAAGAGCACATAGTGTGAGGAGCGATGAAGGGCATTATGTGGAAGCGAGCGGCAAAGCAGTATAGTGTGGAGGAGCGGAGCCAAGGAGCAATCGTGTTGGGAGGAGCGAGTAAGGGCATAGTGTGGCAGGAGCGAGCAAGGAAGGTAATAGTGTGGCAGCGACGCGAGCGCAAGGAGCAATAGTTGTGCGAGGCAGGGAGGAAGGTGCTGAATTAGTTGGAGGGGAAGAAGGAGCAATAGTGTGGAGAGGGAGGAAGGAGCAATGCTGTGGGAGGAAAGCGACCAAGAAGCAATAGTGTGGAGGTGCGGGAGGCAAGGCAATAGTGTGGAGTTGACGAGCAAGGAGTAATAGTGTGGAGCAGCGAGCAAGGCAGCAATATGTGGCAGGAGCGAGTAGAGCAATTGTGTGGAGGACGCGAAGGCAAGGAAGCGCAATAGTGTGGAGGATGGGAGGCAAGAAGTCAATAGCTGTGGGTGACGCGAGCAAGGAGCAATAGTGTGGAGGAGCGAGGAAGGAGCAATAGTGTGAGAGGAGCGATGGAATTGAGCAATAGTGTGGAGGAGCGGAGGATAGCGAAGCATAGTGTGGAGGAGCGAGTAAGGAAGCAACTAGTTGTGGAGCAGCGTAGGATGCGCCAATTAGTGTGGAGGATGGAGGGAAGGAGCAAGTAGCGCTGGATAGCGAGCACGGAGGCAATTAGTTTGAAGGAGCGAGCAAGGAGGAATAGTGTGGAGGAGGCGATTCAAGCGATGCATAGTGTGGACTGCAGCGAGCAAGGCAGCAATAGTGTGGCAGCGAGCGACCCAATGGAGCATAGTGTGGTAGGAGGCGGGATGAGCAATAGTGTGGAGGAGGGGGGAGCAATTTAGCGCTGTGGATAAGCGATTCATAGAGCAATTAGTGTGAAGGAGCGAGCAAGGCAGCATGTTAGTGTGGAGGAGCGAGTCAAGGAAGCTAATAGTGTGAGAGACGGGAGGAAGAAGCAAATTATGTTGGGAGGAGCGGAGCAGAAGGAGCAATAGTGGGAGGAGCGGAGACAGGAGCAATTAGTGTGGAGGATGCGAGGAATGGAGCTAATAGTGTGAGGACGGGAGGAAGGAGCAAATAGCGTGGAATAAGCGAGCGAAGAAAGCAATTGTGTGAAGGAGCGGCAGGAGCATAGTGTGGAGTGAGACGAGCAAGGAGCATATGTGTGGAGGACAGCGAGCAGGAGCATAGTGTGGAAGGAGCGACCAAGGAGCAATTAGTGTTGGAGGAGGGAGGAAGGGCAATAGTGTGGAGGATGGGAGGGAAGAAGCATAGTGTGGAGGAGCGAGGACGGAGCAATCGTGTGGAGGGGTTGCAAGGAGCAATAGTGTGGAGAGCGGAGCAAGAAGCAATGAGTGTGGACGGAGCGAGCAAGGAGCGATAGTGTGGAGGAGGGGAGCAAGGTAAGAATGTGTGAGGAGTGAGCAGGAGCAATAGTGTGGTAGGACGCGAGCGCAAGGAAGCCAGATAGTGTGAAGGAGAGGAGGTAAGGAGCAATGTGCTGGTATGGAGGGAGGATGGAGCAATAGTGTGGAGCGAGCGAGCAAGGTGCAATAGTGTGGAGGCGCGAGCAAGGGGCAATAGTGTGGAGAAGCGAGCAAAGAGCAATAGTGTGGAAGAGCGAGCAAAGAGTAATAGTGTGGAGGAGGTTAGAAAGGAGCAATAGTTGTGCGAGGATGGGTAGGCAGCAGCAATAGCCTGTTGGAGGAGCGAGCAAGGAGCAAACTAGTGTTGGAGGAGCGAGCAAGGAAGCAATTAGATGTGAGAGGAGAGGAAGGAGCAATAGTGTGGAAGGAGCGAGCAAGGCGAGCGAATAGTGTGGAGGAAGGAGAAGGAGCAATAATGTGGAGTAGGAGGAAGGAGGCAATATGTGGGGAAGGGAGGAAGGAAGCATTAGGTGTGGAGAGGAGGGAGAAAGAAGGCGTGCGTGGAGGCAGGCGAGGATAGGAAGCAATAGGTGTGGAGGCGGGGAGGAAGGAGCATAATGCTGGAGTAGGAGGAAGGAGGCAGTTAGTGTGGAGAGCGAGCAAGGGCATAGTGTGCGAGGTAAGGAGGAAGTGAGCAATAATGCTGGAGTAGGGAGGAAGGTACATAGTGTGGAGGATGCGGAGGAAGGGCATAGTGTGGAGGGAGCGGAGAAAGAGAAGATTGGTGGAGTGAGGGCAGGAAGGGCTATAGTGTGAGAGGTGAGGAGGAAGGAGCAATAATGTGGAGTAGGGAGGAAGGAGCAATAGTGTGGAGGAGCGAGCAAGGAGCAATAGTGTGGAGGAAGGAGGAAGGAGCAATAATGTGGAGTAGGGAGGAAGGAGCAATAGTGTGGAGGAGGGAGGAAGGAGCAATAGTGTGGAGGAGGGAGAAAGAAGAAGATGGTGGAGGAGGGAGGAAGGAGCAATAGTGTGGAGGCGGGAGGAAGGAGCAATAGTGTGGAGGAGGAAGGAAGGAGCAATAGTGTGGAGGAGCAATAGTGTGGAGGAAGGAGGAAGGAGCAATAGTGTGGAGGAGGGAGAAAGAAGAAGATGGTGGAGGAGGAAGGAAGAAGAAGTCGAAATATGACCGATTAAGGAATTATAGGCAGAGGAGGTCAGGAGGTAGAGAATGAAGTAAGGTACGAGGATGGGAGGAAATAGAAGAAAAAGCATAGGTGTACATGTGGACGTGGAAGATATAATTTTTGCAAGGGTCTGATGGAGGCTGTTCTGTTAGTGATTACACGGCGCCGTTTTCACTGCTGCCGTTTGCCAAGTCTCCAGCCAACAGACGAAGTCTGGGTGCCTGACAGACAGAACTCTGGCGTGGTGTCAGGAACCGGTGGGCATTCTCGTTCTTATGTGGTCATCACCCTCCACTTCCCAGGCACTTACGAGGAACAGGGCCCAGCTCAACAAGATTAGCCCGGTAACACCTGGTACCTCGACGCCAGTGACGCTAGATCCTCCGTCACATGAGTCACTGAGGGTAGCTCTAACTCCGCTATCGCCGGTGTTAGAGACAGTTGCTCCTCCGTCACCCGGACAGGGGTTACCAGGTCAGCCAGAACGTCACTCCGACGTAGAGCGCCAGCATCCGCGGACCACCAGGAGCGGTCGGGTACGTGAGGTTCCCGTCAAAATACAAACACTTTGTCTAATTTACATTTGATATGATTTATGCGTTCAGTCCAGTTATATATGTGTTTTTTTTTCTAACTGAGAACTTAATGAGCAGTCATTTTATTTAAGCTCTCTCAGAGCTCCAGAAAGGGAGATGTTGTGTTAGTGATTACACCATTGGTTAACGCGTGTTTAAGTGTTAACATAATAATATCTAGTGACGGTGACTCCTGCTACCAGACTGCAGTATATAAGCGCGCTGCACGTGAGGCAGTCGCTCTCTTTACATCATGTAAGCAAGCCACACTGACGTGTGAATAAACAGCTCTTAAGTTACTCGAAATCTTATACGTTTCTATAACGCGACAGAGGCCGGATCATATCAGAACCATCATAAATATACGACAAAAATCTTAGTTACGACAAAAATCATAAATCAAAAATATCATAATTTTGCACGACACATGCTTGAAATAAAGTTATGCCGTTTCAGTTTCATCATAACTATTTACGATATGTTTCTGACAACGGAAATATATTTATACCGTTTATAGGCGAATTAACCTATATAAATCAGCACGGTCATGCACCGCATAATTAGTAAAGGGAGACTCCCTCTACTAACTATATGGTCACCGCGATCATGACATGTGGGTATGCCCCACAGTTCACGGTTACAGCTATCATTAAATTTGAATAAACAATAACGTGTATTTATAAGCATTGAATAATTATTGTGACGTACTATATTATAAAACCATAGAAATAATATACTTGTTAGACGCCAGTGTCTCTATAATAATTATTTCTACGGATAAATCTGAAAACGTTTTAATTGGTTTAGGAACCAAGCGACAATCGTGGCGCTGTAGGCACGTAAAATGTCAGCCCCCGTTATCCGTGTTTCGTTGTTGTTTTTCTCACAACAACAACCTAAAGGTTCTCCGTTTAGACATGCTTGCGGTAGATATGAGGGCAGGAGATTTGCTGATAACTGCAGAACCATACGTATATGTACTTTCGAACAAGTTTCGTGCCAGGTTATGTGATTCGTGTTTGGGCAGGTAAAACGCCTTCACTTTCAATTTCAATGTCAGCTTTAGCCTTTATGTTATGTTATGTTCTCGTACTTGTCGGTGTCCACTACACTGGATATAATGACAAGGTAGTAAGTGCCTTCAGGGATAAACCCAATAAACAAACAGGTGCATAATGATGATGTGAGTGCAATGCAACTGGTGTCCTCTTAAAGTGGGTTTGCGTGCATGTGGGAGTGTAGACCGAATAATTCTGTCCCATATAACCTTTTTTATATTTTGGTGAGGGTTTTATTGGGACAGAACGGGGCTCATTGAAATTTCGTGAGATCGCATGCAAAATGCATGAGCTGCTAATGCGGCCCGTACGCCGCTATTGGCACGGAAAAAAACCTACCGTTCCCTTCTACATGACTTTACCTTGCTACTGATATGTGTATACATTCACTTCAATCGTTATTTACTTCTTAAAAGATTGTTTTTCAGAAACCCCGCTTTATTAACTTTAGTAAATTACGTTGGCCATTTACAAACAATCGGACCAATCACAGCGAGTCTATCAGGCCTCCTGCAGCGCCACAGATACAAGCGAGAACCAGGGGCTATTGTAAGACTCGCTCTGATTGGTCTGATTGTTTGTAAATGGCCAACGTAATTTACTAAAGTTAATGAAGCGGGGTTTCTGAAAAACAATCTTTTAAGAAGTAAATAACGATTGAAGTGAATGTATACACATATCAGTGGCAAGGTAAAGCCATGTAGAAGGGAACGGTAGGTTTTTTATCGCGCCAATAGCGGTGTACGGGCCACATTAGCAGCGCATGCATTTTGCATGCGATCTCACGAAATTTCAATGAACCCCGTTCTGTCCCAATATAACCCTCACCAAAATATAAAAAAGGTTATATGGGACAGCATTATTCGGTCTAGTGGGAGTGAAGCCTTGACTTAAAAATGTCAACGTCCGTTGCTTCCACAACACCCACGGGTAGGTTGTTTCAGATTGGAATCATCCGGGGGAAAAAAGAGAATTTGAATGCGTTGTTGTTGCAGTGCAGGTGCCGAAATTTCATTTTACTAAGTTACTTTGGCGCAAATCCACTTTAGGCACCTTAGGTATCACAAAGTGATGCACAGATTTCTGTGTATCAGCAACTGATGCACAGACTTTCCGTATATCAAGGAATGATGCAAAAACCCTAACCCTAACCCTAACCCTAACATACTTTGTGATACCTAAGGTTATACTTTATGACTTAGGGTTAGGGTTAGGGTTTTTGCGTCATTCCTTGATATACGGAAAGTCTGTGCATCAGTTGATGATACACAGAAATCTGTGCATCAGTTGATGATACACAGAAATCTGTGCATCACTTCGTGATACCTAAGGTGCCTAAAGTGGATTCGCACCGTTACTTTTTAGTTTTTGTTTATTACATTCTTTTTGATTCAATGGAAGAAGTATGCGGCAAGAGTACATACTTTACTGCATATCTAGTAGTGCAAACTTCACTTAACCTTATTAATCCTTTTATTAGGTTTGTGCTTGTCTGGTCAGGAGCTATGAAATGTTGAAAGTGTAGGACCAGTAGGCGTCGTAGAACCAACAATAACCATTTAAGGATACTTTCAACCTTTTGCACGGGTATTGCTCTAATGAAGATTAAACGTTTATTGACGAATGAATCGAACCAATCACTTGTTTTATTTATAGAGGATATATATATCTTTATGCTCAAGGCAAAAAATTTCATGAAATTTCCAGCACCTAATTATGTTACCACGAAAATTTTGAATTTTTATGTAAAAATGGTATTTTGGATATTTCTCAATTACCAGAAAGAGTGAGGATACAAAATTATCGCCACATGTTAAGCACAATATGTACCAAAATAGTGCATCAGGATTTTTCTTTAAGTTTTATATTTACCGAGAAAAATTAAAAAAACTGCCTAAAATTCAAGTCGCACGTTTGAATTTAAAATTTTTGCGAATAAAGAGACATAACTCATAAAATACTGCACTTAATAACAATCCCTGACGCACATTTTTACAGCAATATGTTACCATTAAAACGAGTGTAAAATTAAATTATTCCGAGTTGTAATCACAGAGAAATATCCATTTATACATCGACTACTAAGTCAGAAATTGGAACGGAGAAATCTGCATTTTTCTGACGTCAGCCGCGGCTCACTACACATGTACGCGGGCAAGCAAAACGCTCTGACAGTTCACATGTATCGTTATATGGAGAAATGAGCATGTACACAGGTTGCACATAGTGTTAGTCATCGAATAAATTTGTAAATGAAAAATCGGTAAATTTTTTCCTAAAACCTTGAGAGTATCCTTAAGGAAACCCGGGGATTGTTTACCATCTTTTCACGCGATAACATTGCTGAAACATTTGTAAACTAATAAATTGCATCCTAGTAATTTTTATAACACGATGCTATTCTAGGGCCCAATATGTTATAGCCCAATAGGCTAGAGGGCAATAAGCTTCCACTTTTGTACGAAGACATTTTAACTTTCTGAGTCTGTATAACATTGAAATTTGAGGAAATATCTACACATCATTCCACCTTATTAACATCTTACCTACATCATGAAACACTTGTCATGCATTTTCAGTTTCTTAAATACTTTTTATAGCCTTATAACTTGTAAAAGTATCATCACATCAAATGTTTAAAGGCAGTGGATATTTAACTGTATAGTATACGGCAGTATCCACTTCCGCTATTTTACCGTACACCACATTTGATTGGCTAGTATATTTATGATGTCATCAAAATTACATTCGAATCCCATAAGGTTTAGCTATCTAGAAAACTTTTACGTTCAAATTCCATTTATTTCTACACATTTGTAGCCCCGTTTGATCACAGAAGCTATTTTCCGTGAATCACGTTTCCAATGCGAAACCTTTTGAACACATTCATAATATACTAAGTTTTAACATACATATACACATACATAAATATACTAGCCAATCAGAAGTACTGTACGGTGAAATAGCGGAAGTGGATACTCTGCCGTATAAGGTTAAATCTCCACTGCAATGTTTAAAACTGTCAGATCAGAAATTGTAAACCTGTATTGTTTGTTGCCTCTCATGCTTGTGCTATGTTCCCACCGACCAATAAAATCATTGCTGGTTAGTAAGATTACAATTTCTGTTCCGACAAAGTTATGAACATTTAAATGTAGAATCTCAATATTACACTGTCAGAAACTGTAGAATGGTCAATCAAAATTATGCCACATACAGTCTGAGGAAGCCTATTGGCCCCTAGTATAGCATCAGATTATAAAAATTCCTAGGGCTCAATTTATTCGAGTAAATACGTGGTACATAATGCCTTGATCCTCGTAACATTGTAACAAATATTCTTTAAAGGTCCATGCAGGGACCATAATGAGTTAGGTACAGTTAAGGTTCTGAGTAGCACCATTTGATAACCATTTAAAACAGATGTATCAAACTAATTAGAAAACACTTTACCTTGGTAGTTGCGTAAACAGACTCTGTAAACGAGAACCGTGTAGGGATTTTAATGTGTCGGAAAGTGTTTTTTAAACCGTTTTGGATATTAAGGCAAAGATTTCTCATGTTTTTACCAATGTTTTTATATTTTCTTGACTGTTCTGGTACTTACTGGTACTCCTTGCATAACACCAATTAAGTTTATCTAGTAAAGCTAACATAACATGTCAATATGCGCTCCGATTGCCATTTAAAATTAGATTTGTATACATATGCCAACAAAACTAGCGCATGATTTTTGCTCTCGCGAGATGCTATTGACCTGCAGTCTGTTACTACACTAGGTTAATTACCTTTGTATTCATTTCGAGATGGGTACCAGTGTATAAATATTTGCATCACGTAACTACGTGCACTTTTTTTCTGAGAGCGTTGTTTGAAAAAGCCATGATCGCAAATTTCAAATTAGCAGTCGCGCATTTGATGTTCATTTACTTTTTTTAGGTTATAACAACAGAACCTCATAATAATTTTTAAGCTGAAGTAAGCAGTATAATGTACGCTGACAGGTGAAACTAAATTTGTCTAAATTTATAAATTTTTCGATTCATTTGAGAGGTGATAATTTCAAGAGATATAATAGTCTATAAAACCCATCATATCTTGAGAAATACATTTGCTGTTATCTAATCATACTTACCATAATTTACAAACGTTTGCTACGACACAGCCCACATGTGCAACTAACCTGTTGTTCACTTGTCTTATGGGTAGGTTCCTGATGAGAATGTTACCAGTTAACTAGTTACATGATATTTGAAATGATTTCATTCAAGGTTTGACCGCCTCAGCCGCTGCTCCTGCTGCAAGTTTGTCCGTTATTGCTCACGAAGTTGTCAGGTGAACAGCATGTGTGTTCCTCACATTCTTAGGTTGTAAACTGATGTGTGAAAATTGTATGAATAAGATTTTAAGCAAGTACCTGTGCGATATTTAAAGTGTGGTGATTGAGAGTGTGCATTGGTGAGGGTGTTATGAAATTTGTATATAATGATATTACTCTATTTCAGGATAATGACTGGACTGACCACAGGCTGGAGTGCAAAGCCTTGCAAAAAGTGGCTCCAAATGTACCAACTGACAGTGCTCGACTCATGGCCAGGGTGATATGGAAACTGAACGTATGACTTATGTCACTGTTAGTTAACCAATGGGTTATGAGCCTATGATAAAGCTTATTAAATATAAATTAAATGTCAAATTTGGGTTTTTGTATGAATCACTTTATTACCTTACATTAATTAGGGACCTGTTTATATTAATTTTTAATGTCTTTGTCTCGTACTGATGTCCTAAACTGTTCTCTTGTTCGTATTAGACTATTCTTAGATTGTTTTCTATTGTCGACTGTTGACATGCTGTCTTCTATTGTCATTTGAACCACAGAGACTGGAGATGACAGCTGAGGAGACTCACTATGCTTGCAACATTCCCCTGAGAGGCTTCAATGACCTGATGACGCGTAGGTGTTAATAAATGACAGTGCTGTAGTTATCCAATCTGTTATGAGTCATCAAGTTGTCATCATTATAGTGAGACATCACAAGTCATCAAGTAGTCACCAACGTAATGACACCGTACTTAAATACTGCATCCTAAATACAAGTAGGAATGCTTAAAGTAACATAGAGATGTGTACTGACTTAAAGTCATAAGGAGGATAAAACTTGTCATGAGATAAAATTGCACAAGATTGCATGATATGCTGACTGTGAATAGCGCTCATAGGGTCTATGTCCCCCAGGGTACTATCGGAGGGTACCCTGGGTACGGTCCGGTATACCGGAACGTACCCTGGTAACTATCTGATATGGTTAGGGTTAGGGAGTAGGCGTAGGCGACTCCCTAGACTCGTTAGTGGAGTAGGCGAGGTACGGTCCGGCATATTAGATAGTACCAGGGTACGTTCTGGCAGTACCCTGAGGGACATAGACCCTCTCAGCGTGAATAGTGCATGTGTAGTAAACAAGTGCATTGGCAACTATACCATTTGGAATTTTTCCGTATCACTGTTGAATGTCTGCAAGCAGTTGGCATGCTTAGCAAATCATGCGAGCAGTTTAGCAAAATCGTGTATGATCTAGATAGTTTATCCAGTCACCTCAGATTTGTTGTTGTGCTTTACACGCACAGCAGGCATCAGAAAAAAGTGTGCAGCCAAGAGTGTGGTATTCGCATTGCCAATTAGATTATCTAAGATATTGGGCTGCAGTCATCCAAATAATTCCCTCGTTAATGTAAACTAATTTATTGTTTAGTACAGAGGTTTTTTGTGTGTGATATTGTCACTGTTGTCATGGCAACATACTCAGTCATACCCATGGCTACATAGTGCTAGCCAGACAAGTCTCTTTTTTCTAAATCTAAACCTATACATGACATGTATTCCAAGATGTCCATACAAACTTCTCAACAAGCTGGGGATATTTTTAAACTTTACTACACTTATATACACATATAATACTTGTTTTCCAGTTATTATATTTTTCTTTCTAGAAACAACAACTATCTATTTCCTCAGATGATCAGAGCAAGAAAAATCAATACTTATAAGGGGGAGCCGCTTACACTACCTGTTACGTGCTGCAGCTGTGTGCTGAACTACAGGCTGCCGAGAATAGAGAGTAGAAACGCTGTAGAGAAGCGGCATGGTTCGATATCGGATATGCTATGGATTATATGAGAAATCATACCTTAGTGGTTCTCATGCGTGGTGTTTATAAATAGTACATGTGTATGGTAAATAGTAAATAGGACGTGTAGATAGGAATAAGATGAAGGAAAGGGCATTTTATGTGTCAGAGCATGCATAAGCATGATTTGCAGGCTGTGAAGATTTAATATCAGTATCAGACAATAAGTACATCCAGGCAATATGTAGAGCTTGCATGATACCAGGGTGTTGGCCAGGAAAAAAATCAGGGAGACTCACCATCTGAGTGAAGCGAGGATGCTGTGGGCGTGAAGCGCCCTAGGTAGGAGGGCCTATGGGGCCTACCTTAAAATGGCGGAAATTTAGTCTGAAATGCCAAAAAGACAGGAATCTGATACGATTTTATATTCTTATAAGCACTTTTTTCAGTTATACAAGGTGTATAATATATCAAATTGGGCCGCCCTTATGCCCTCTATCAAATTTCATCCGTCTCATCCAAAAATAGGCCGTCCAAAAGACGGGTAAACGGGTCTCTGGCCAACACACTGCATGATACCCTGATGCAACAAGCAGATGGCCCAGTGTCAAGTTAATAATAAAAGGCAGTAAGGTTATTGAGTTTGCCAGACCTGTATCTGTGTTTGGTAGTGGGTGCACCAAGGAGAACTCCCTTACTGTTTATGAGTGATGTAATTGTTATGGAAGGTATAGCTTAATCACGGATGAGGTACTCCAAGCAGTAGGAGTATAGTTACGAGTATGGTAGGTATCCTTGCTAGGTTAACTCGTGCTGGTTATTCGACTCGAAACATGGTGTCCAGTAAATGTAGAGGGCCCTGTAACTCCTGCAGTACCTAATAATCATGTTTCAACTTGACAGACTGTGAAGACATAAAGCGCGACGGGCTCAGAGGCAAACAGTTTGGGGAGATGGTGCGCACGCTACGCGAGTATGTGAGACCTGAGGACATGCCAGAACCACGTGACCTGCTGCACATCTTCGGGCGGGTGCGTTGTGATGTGGCCGGGGCCGATTGTTACTCGTGATTATCGTTGTTTCACATATTTCCTCTCGAAACGATTTGTTTGAACGCCTCAATGTCGATTCTAAGATGAGTGTCATGATTTATATCCTGGGCATGCTTCCAGCGTGATTGCGTTACGCACCGTGAAATCACGTGTTTTTATTGCTATGTGCGTAGACTGATGCATTGTGCTTACGATGGGGGCCAGCTGCACGAGTTGAATAAATCGAGGGACCAAACATTTATGGTATCACTGGATGTGTTCAATATTATGTTGCTTCAGCAGGGCAAAGGTAGATGGCAAACTTCGGCGAATAAAAAATGTAGTTTCGTTTTATTAGACGTTCTAGGACTCTAACAGTACAAAAGCCATTATCACACATCATCAATGCACAGCTAGACTATTCGGTGTGGTGCTGAAAAAGATTTCAGGGACTCCAAATTTTCCAAGATTCTTCACGACTATGTTTGATCTGGGATACTTAGCTGTTTTATTGCCTTTCTCTATTGATGCCCAATGCTTAAAGAAAGCCATCATGTTTTAGGTCACGTTCTGCTATGTATCTGTAGTGACTTTGGTATGAGCGACGCATCGTTTGTGTAGCATACGTTAATAATCACAATTTCTAGGCGCACTCAACTAGTTTGCACGAACGAATAAGTTACTGTACTAATTACGTGGTTTGGCCACATCTTTTTCATTCGCAGCACATGCGATTGTCTGTATAGATCGGACCTCCAGTGGAAAATTGCTGTTAAATGAGATATATTGCTGTTACAGATTGTCATAAACTCGTTTACGCTAACAGACATGGAGCTTAACCCCATTGGAGTTGGTTTGTACCTAGGGTAAGTACAGATCCAGTTTCTAACCATGTGTGAGAAATTATCCCTATAAAATTCATAGTACCTCATAGTCATATAAATTCATTGCCTAGGATATTCAAGGAGATCAACTAAAATACTGATTGATGCATAGTGTCATGGAAATGATTTGGCAATTTCAATTTTATATAAACAAGATTAGTAGATTTTTTGGATAAAATCATATTATACTATACCTAATGAACAGTAGCTATACTGTTTGATTACTACTTTTAAGTAATAATTTTTGTAATGTAGTTATGCATTCACTTGTGTCTCTCTCTGCTGGTGTTATACATGCATGTCTGTGTAGAGTATGCATACTCTCTCTCCATGCCTGTATATGGTATGTGAACTATCTCACTGTTTTTGTCCAACATGTAGTTTTCTCTACTTGTGTTCCATATTAACATTTCTCTTCATTCCTGTATATGGTATATCCGATACGTTTCTTCTGGGTAGAGTGTGTTTTCGGTATTGTGCATAGTTTGTAAACTTTCAGGCCATCAGTCATTGACCATTCTTGTCAGCCGAATATGGTAACAACGTTTATCGGCCCAGTTCTTCAGCAAAGGGCCATCAGTGATATTCCTGGAGGATCCTACACACATGTACGTAATCTGCTCTTGTAAAAGTTATTGCGGATAGAAGACAGAATATGTCTGTGTTCTATGCCCTTATTAATGTGAGTTCCATAAATAAAAATGATTCAAAGGTGTCAGTCATCTAATATATATTTGAGTTCGTATGTATGTATCTATGTATGTATGTATCTTCCCTATAGGCGGCCAAACCGCCCAAGCGATCTGGATGCAATTTTCACAGGGCCATCTCTTATACCCGGGGAGTGTTCGTAGCTGAAAAAAACCTGCCAAACCGTCAAACTCGCCGAAAAATCCGCGCAGCGCAGCACCCAGCGCAGCGGATACCCGCAGCTAGTAGTTAATAATTAATTCAATTCTGGATGAAAGTATTGCATGT